GGGTCTACACAGATACTGTACATGGGTAGGGTGAGGTCTAGGGATCGAACCCTGGGTACTGCATCCGCTACTGCTAAAAGGTGAAAACCGTTTCATCATACCCCCCCCTTAACCCCCTATAACTTCCACCCTAACACCCTCATACCCACCCCTTTATAATCCCCCCCTATACATCCCCCTATAAACCCCACCACCCCCAAAAAAATTATTGCGGATTTGGGCTGGTCTCCTCAAGCCGCACATGACCAGGTAATCAGAAAAAAAAAAAAAAAAGATGAAGGCAGTCTGCCGACCGCCGACGGGTCCACCTACGGGTCGGTCCGACTGGTAGGCGCGCCTACCGCCTACGGTAGGCGTAAGCGGTAGGCGCCAAAACAACCCTGCATGGAAACCTAAAACGGTCTTGATCACAGAGCTTGATGAACCTAATGGAGTTCAAGGCTGCATTACCCAGTCCCACCGGGGCCCCCTCCCCCCAGCGGAACCAGGCCGGTTGGACCGGCCGGTGGACCGCGCCAGTTCCCCTCCGGTTGATATTTGTGCATTTCGAATTGTGGGGGGGTTCAATTTTTTTTGGGGCCGGGAGGCCTCCATGCAGGCCATTGAGGCCTCTCGGCCCCAAAAGAAATCGGACCGTGTCCGGTAGGGCCGCCTACATCTGGAAAACTGGTGGCCTATCTGGACCGTCGATCTGGTGAGATCGGCGTCCCAGATAGGCTGCCTGTTTTTGAACATTCGGGCAGGAAACCGCCCGACCCTTCAAACACCCTCCCGCCTCCCAACTCCCTCCGCTTTTGAGATGTGCACCCAGTTCGAGGTGGAGACGTCGTCGCCCAGCCCCCGTCCGCCTAGGCCTCTGTGGATTCGCCATCGCACTGTCCCGCCGTCGAGCGTTCCCTCCATCGGTAAGCATCTTCTTCTTCTTCTTCTTCTTCTTCTTCTTCTTCTTCTTCTGGTAGAGCTCTGGAGCAAGGACTTCTGCGCTGCATTGGGGGAGAGAGAGAGAGAGAGAGAGAGAGAG